TGCAACAATTCAGTAACACTTCAAGAGTAGCAAACCATTGCATTCTACTCACCATTTTCCTGCTGCAACAGGAAATATTTCATTTTCGAAACTTAAAGTATATCCATCCCTACCTAGCGAAATGAAAATGCGCAATTCTGTGCACAGTGGCGAACAAACTCAAGGATCGGATAATTGGAGCACTGAAGTGGAATGGCCAGTCAAAACATAATTTAAGATAATTTAAAGGGCGAAACGCACGGAGAGCGTTTTCAGAAATGTTCAATTGATTATGTTTTCTGTAGTCTTTAAGGCATTTCTCATTAATGCAGTTGTCATCGGATAGGCGAGGCGGATGCCAAGTGACGGCGGCGTAAAATTTGCTTTCAATATTTACAACCTAGTAGCTATTTAATTCTTGGGAACAAAATGTCTCATCCCGATTCACACCAACAAAACAAATGGAATCTATACCTAGAGGTTAACAAAATAAACATCAGCGAGGGAAAACTGAAATACGCGCCAGCATTACATAGGATTCCAGAAGACTTTAACTCATAAGACATCTTATAAATGTGAAGTTAACTAACATTAGTATATAAGCAGCTATTTCAAAGGAAACAATTTACCTAAACAACTCTTAAACAAGTTAAAGCTTTCTCGAGAATTGGCCATAGGAATCTTGGGTTGGCAAAGGATAAGACACTATGTTGAATTCGATGAACAATTATGTGGCTAACTCGTTGGTATTATCGATGCTTCAAGTAAGTGGACATTGTGTTGCGCGAGGCTTCGGGTTGCCGGCCTCTTATTACTATGAGCAAACTTAAGGTAGCCTGCTCTAAGAGGGACGGTTCAAAGCCGGTAATTGAAAGGAAAAAAATGGTGAAATTTAATTCTGCAACAAAAAACAGCAAGAACAACAACAATAGCTTCTTCTTTATTTGCCCTTATTGTTACAAAAGATTACAATTTTACCTTTGCAAAAAAAGTAACTACGGGTACTAGCAACCCGAAATAAAAACACTAAGAAGTTCTCGCTCTTTTTTCAAGGGCCTTAGTTTTTTAATTCACTTGACAACGAGGTCATCAACTCTCAATCTCTTTCCTCTTTTAAGAAAAAACTGAAAAAGATTGAATTATTGAATAAATATGAAAACAGTTCATAAATCTTTCCATCTTCTACTTTTCGCCATCTTTTCTTTAATTGATGTTAAACAGCTCTAACCCGTAGTTCGAGGAAGCCTAACCTCTCATAAGCTCCTATAGTTTCTGTTAGGTCTCTTCGCCACTTCATTATTTCCTCTCTCTCTCTCTTTTCCTTTATTTTTTGTAATTATTGTGTGGCAAGTAAGATAATAAATAAACACAAGGTTAACATCCAACATGAGTTTTCTCCTATTGCTTTTCATAGCAATACGTAATCAAGAGAAAAGTTATGAGATTTAGAAAAAAAACGGTCATTAAAGGGAACATACTCTGATCTGTTACAAATTTTCTAAACTAATTCTTTGAAGCCAATGTATGGAGATCAGTGGGGGATTTCTATTTGGATATTGGGGGCTAAAAGGGGTTAGAATGACAGGCTACCAGTATAATAGGCCACATGTACGAAGAGGTCACGAGACCAATGCTTCCTTTAAACAATGAGTTGGAATCTTGCTAATGTTAAAAATTGATAGGGCACATAAACATTATCTTACACCCGAAATTTGAGAGGAAACGCATTTAAGGGAGATATTTTATGGAACTTTGATTTTTTAACAAAGTAGTATGATTTGTATTGGCCGCCATGCTGGAGGGCATAAATAGCGGCCAAAACTATTTTTCGCTTATATCTTGTTAAACGTTTGATAGTCACACTCGGATGTGCTGTAAACGTTACCACATCATCTTTTCAACATTTTCCTTGAAGTTTAAGTGCAAAATTAGTGTTAAGAAAGAGGTAATTCAAAATTTTAAAAATCACATTTTGGTCAAGTGACCAGCTACGAACTTACTCATTTTAAGAAAATGCGGGTTTGAAAAACCAAATCTCTATTATTTTGTTTAAGATATGACCCACTGATCTTTTTTCGAAGGCTAAATCATATAACTTTCATTTTCACAAAAACAATGTCACATGACCCCTTAGCGCAAAAGGCCTGTTAATGCAGAGCCTAAGACGAAGTCCAATGCGCGGGCAAAGAAAGCGGTCGAACGAATGAGTCAATCAAAAAAAAAATCACTTGATGTCGAACTGGAGACAAGACGAAAGCATGAATTGAAGCAAACTTCAAAAAAATTCGGTACTTTTGATAATTCGAGCAGTTTTGCAGTGTTCAGTCATAGAAATCTATGCTCTTAGCTTCAAACAGCAGTTTAAACAGATCAGGGGCGGATCCAGGGGGAGGGTGCAGGGGGTGCGCACCCCCCCCCCTGGGATGACCTGCGGCCGCTTTCTAATTAACACTGTGCAGTCGCTTGACAGACATACAAAATCTGCTCTATCGTTTGATATGTATTCTCAGCAGTTCACATTATGTTATTTCCAAATCAAAAGCCCTCTTCTTCGTATTCGCTTTTAAAATTTTTTACGTCATCGGTCAGTTAGTGGTGCACCCCCTCCTAAGAAAAATCCTGGATCCGCCCCTGCAGATAGTTAGCAAACGATCGATAATGCATAAAGAATACTTTCTTGTTTTCAGAGGAAAGTCTCGAGTCGGAAATCACAAATGTGCGACCGTTGAAATGCCCGCATGGTCCAGTATTGACCAATGTCACTCTGACGCACGAGCTTCGCGCGGGAAAATTTTCGCGCCTGGGAATGGCAGAAGATATGGAGACTTGCATTCAGATGTGCTGTGACAAAGATGATTGTGAGATGGCGTTCATGCCTGGGAAACATTGCTATGGTGTGGACTGCTTCAGTCAGGAGCACTGCGAGATTACGACAGTTAAACCCAGTAATTTAACCGTGCAGATTACCAAGGTGCGACCAATAGTTGTAAATCCAGCCAAGGATCAAATAGCAGGTAATCTATAGAACCAAGAAAGAAAAAGGGTGAAAAATACATTGTTTGTAATGTAGTCTATCGTCCCACGTAGGGGAAGCCAAAACAGACTTGGAGTCTGGATTCCACGCCGTGAATTCCGGATTTCAGGTACTGGATTCCAGTCTCTATTAGTAGAACTTGGATTCTGAATTCNAGCAGTTCACATTATGTTATTTCCAAATCAAAAGCCCTCTTCTTCGTATTCGCTTTTAAAATTTTTTACGTCATCGGTCAGTTAGTGGTGCACCCCCTCCTAAGAAAAATCCTGGATCCGCCCCTGCAGATAGTTAGCAAACGATCGATAATGCATAAAGAATACTTTCTTGTTTTCAGAGGAAAGTCTCGAGTCGGAAATCACAAATGTGCGACCGTTGAAATGCCCGCATGGTCCAGTATTGACCAATGTCACTCTGACGCACGAGCTTCGCGCGGGAAAATTTTCGCGCCTGGGAATGGCAGAAGATATGGAGACTTGCATTCAGATGTGCTGTGACAAAGATGATTGTGAGATGGCGTTCATGCCTGGGAAACATTGCTATGGTGTGGACTGCTTCAGTCAGGAGCACTGCGAGATTACGACAGTTAAACCCAGTAATTTAACCGTGCAGATTACCAAGGTGCGACCAATAGTTGTAAATCCAGCCAAGGATCAAATAGCAGGTAATCTATAGAACCAAGAAAGAAAAAGGGTGAAAAATACATTGTTTGTAATGTAGTCTATCGTCCCACGTAGGGGAAGCCAAAACAGACTTGGAGTCTGGATTCCACGCCGTGAATTCCGGATTTCAGGTACTGGATTCCAGTCTCTATTAGTAGAACTTGGATTCTGAATTCCAATTGTTAGTGAGATTCCGGATTCCTTGAGCCTCAAAGCCCAAGATTCAGGTTTCCAAAGCAAAAATTTGCTGTATTCCGGATTCCACCAGCAAAAATTTCCCGGATTTGGGATTCTTTGTCAATGGAAGGTGGATTCCGGATTCCAGTTGTTAGTGGGATTTTGGATTCTTTGAGCTGTATTCCGGTATCGAAAGCCCAGGATTCCGGATCCCAAAGCAAAAATTTCCTGGATTCCAGAATCCCGATTCCCTTACATGGGGCGAAAACAAGAAAAGAAAAGAGTTAAAAAAAAATACATTGTTTAAGCTCCTGTTTACAAGGCATGTTGCCACATGGTCAGATGACGATTAAATATTCTTGGAATGAATCATACCATATTGCTTTACCCATAGTGCTTGGCTCGGAGCTCCTCTTAAACATTCTTGTCATGTCATTTGTTATTAGTGTCCGTTGAGGACCCTTTAACTCAAGAGGAACTTCACTGTACCCAGAGCCCAATACTAAAGAACGTAACACTGAGGGGAGGAATAAAAGCGGGGAACTTCAGTGACCTAGGCGACGAGAAAAACATGCACATGTGCATTGCTCTCTGCTGCGAGCGCAAGACGTGCGACCTGGCCTTCATGATAGGAGGTACATGCATCGCAGTGGACTGTTTTAGCGAGGAGCTCTGTCAGGCGGTCAA